AACACGCCTCATGGCGAGGTATCAGGTTGTTAAATACCCAAATACCCAAACAAATAAAGCAGTGTCTTCTAAAAAAGCTCCCTTTGCACAAAGCAGTACTTAGATCCTAAACTGGTATAGTTCGTTAGTTCCCCCTTTTGCACTAGCCAACCAGAAATGTATATTATGTTGTATGAGTAGAGCAGCAAGATCTCTGTTTTTCCTCTTAATGAAAATCCCCCTATGTTAATAATGGTGATTTTGTGCCCCTCAGGATCCAGAATGATGCACATTCACATGACCTAATCAGACGAACTTCACATCCAATCGAGGCTGTTTCCAATTTTTTTTTTTAGGTATGATAAAGTGTTGTATAAGGATGAATGTGATTCATTTAAATCATTGAAGTTTACAATTATAAGAGCTCAAATTCTTAAAACATAAACATCAGATTTGATGCTCCTTCAGTTTAAATCAAATAATCAAAGTCACATTTATTTTAATTGGGTTATTCTTAATGCCTTTCCTCTTGTTTCTGTGAATTAAAAAAGCTTTGTGTCTGCTGCATATTCATGTGGCAGGTTAAAACCTTTCCATACCCAGAAGAAACCCAAAAAATATTTTGTCCTGTATGATTATCATCACTTTAACTTTTGGCCTTTTGGTTTAACTAATGTCTACCATCATATCCTTCTTTACTCAAACAATGAAATGTTTTTAGTTTTTTTTAAGCAGCACTTAACTGTGTAATTGGACTGTGATGGAGTCCAACATGAACATGAAAGCTAAGTTGTTTTTTGAAAGTAGCTGTAATTACCTGCGGGCTTCTCTCTTTCTTGATTAGAGAGGAAAACTAATCCTGGAGAACTGATACTGGAGCGAACACCGGTGAAGATTCAAAGAGAATGCACAAGTCTGCAGTCATTTCAGTTCATGCACACACACATTCACACACAGCATGATGAATAGAAGCACGCACAGACACAGTGACATAGGTGTGCACACAATATAATACACATTATCAAACCAACACAAAAGCCCAGAGGCCTACAGCTTAATTGAACTTTCCCACCGATCTACACAGTTTTTTTTTTCCTTCTTAATCAGCAGAGGGTTGGAGGTGGCAAAAACCAAACGAAAAACCGAAAGGAAAAAAAAAAGAGTCTGGGAAAGGAGGGTGGAGGAAAAATTACAAAGTGAAAGGAAGCTGGGCTGAAGATCCAGAGAGAGCAAAAAAGAGGGATGAAGAAGTGGAGGTGTTCGATGGGTAATTTAATTTTCTGGAGGAAACAGTCTGTGAGTGAAATTAGATTCTACATGGCAAGTTTATCCAAATGTAAATTGGAACAGTGAAAGTTTATATAAAATTACAGCAGAAACACTTCCTCAGAAATGCTGCCTTGGTAAGATTTAGAAAACAATTATCTGATGTTTAAGAAGTTGGTATTACCCCTGGGCATGGGCCAGTCTCCCAGTTTTATGATATGTACACAAAACTGCAAAACTTTATCCAACTGCCTCTTTTTAAACAAAAATTTAACCATTAATCAAATTACTGTAAAAAAAAAAAAAAAGCATGTAAGTTATTACTTTCAGAATCATGCTATCTTTAGCATTTATTGAGTGTTTAATTTAATTCTACCCATCCATCCATTTTCTGTCACACTTATCCAAAGCAGGGTTTCAAGAGGTGCTGGTGCCTATCTCCAGCTTTCTATGGGGCGGGGTACACCCTGGACAGGTCACCAGTCCATCGCAAGGCATAATTTAATTCAAATACTTAGCAAAAATTATAGACTAAGCACCTCTTCAGTATATCATTCCTTTTTCACTAGTTAGTTTTAACAGGGGCGTGCATACATAGACACTAGGTGGTGCTAAAGCACTAGGAAGTTTGCCCTTTATCAATGAAAATGCCCCTTTGAAACTCGTTTTTATTTATTTATTTTTTTATTAATATTATTAAGATTTTACTGAGGTCGGTTTTGAAATGATCTTTTGAAAACCTGAGCCATTA